TTCCAGCACCCTCCACATCTTCCTGTATGCAGCTTTAGGTTTGTGGCCTGCAGAGAAATGAGGGTTTGTGTGTGTGTGTGTGTGTGTGTGTGTGAGGGAGAGTAGAGGAGAGGAGAGGAGAGGAGAGGAGAGGAGCGGGGTGCTGTAATGCTAACACACTGCACTGTCCCCATGCATACCAGTGAGAGTTTAGAGTGTGTGAGCCAAAAACACACAGTCAAACCAGCTGCATTCCACATGCACACACTGCAAATGCATGTCCAGTTTAGAGCTCATTTGCTAATGCATGTGTATTATCTGTCACCTCATGTAATTTATTGTTTTTAGATAAGAGATCTTTATGGTGCATCAAGAAGGCTGAATTTCTTGTCATTAATGTCTTTGATAGTGAGAATAAGCCACAAGACTCAAATGGTGGTAATATGACACAAATGAAAATGAGTCTGTGAAGGATAGATGTACCATCTATTCAGTTGGTTCCATAAAGTTTCAGAAGGTCGTAGGCCACAACTAAGTTAAAACATGCTTTTAAAAGCACCCCCTTTTTTGAAAGACATATTTGAATGCTTTTGAATTCAAACAATTCCTCTTTTTTTAGTAGTATTTTATTTTATTTATTTGTTCTTTTATTTGGGGGAGGGTTTGGACTCCCTAGAAACCTGGAAGTTCCTGGACCCTGGTTTTAAAATCTTTGATTTTGAGGATTCACTCTTGCGATTAATTTCAGTTTATCACTTCCCAAACCATTTAGTGTGTTCGGTATGCGGCCAAATCCTTGTTTTCATTTGCATCAAATTAAGTGTGGCATGAACTCTGACTGCGGTCTACAAAGACTATGAATTCTCTTCTGCTCTGTGGAAGGAGTTCGCAGAGGTTGCATGTGTGTTTCAGACACATCTGGCCTATGAATTTCTGTCGTCCCGTCCAACATTCCATCTGAGAGAGAGAGGTACAGAAAGGGATATACCAAAAAGAGACAGAAAGATGGAACAGACTCCTAGCCAAAGACAGATGACCCACAGATGGCACCTGGCATTGCACAGTTTGAACTGGCCTACAAGACGTGAATGACCAAATCTGTGTTTGCTGGAATCCAGAGATCCCAGAATTTAAATTTATGGCATTTTATCTTATTCATCTTTAGTCACAAATCACATATGCAGGCAGCATAGACATGATTTCATCATTATATACATTTGCATTGCACAGCCATCAAGAGGAAGACAGGAATAAAGAGAGAGGAGGGGGAGTGAGAGAATGCGAAAAGGGGGGGGAAAATGGCACAACGATGTCATAATTACAATCGCCAAACCGGGCCGTTGCCATGGAGACATAGACATGTGAGCAGGCCGGTGGCATTCACAGTGAGGGTGCGCCGACCTGCTGTTCACTTCAAGCACTGAGATAGAGGGAATATTTTTAGATAAGAGATGCAGCGTTCTGAGGAAGGGAGGAGTGACCCAGAGAAGAGACGGAGGTGTGAGAGAAATAAAACGGTGATGTGGTACATTAAATCTAGCTGTGCTGTAAAATCCTGATGGTAGGTGATTATACCTGGTTTCTAGGTGGTCTAGATGGCAGGTAGACTGGGTTTCAACAAAAAAACAGCTATCATTTCTCAGAAATCACCTTGACCACCTCAAGCAGATTTGGCCCAGTTTTTCCAGCAGATGAAGATAATATCAAATGTAATTCATGCTATAAAATTTCAGGATTTTATTTGGTGTTTTGGGAAATTAAAGAGATGATACTTTATTCGTCATGTACTCATTCCTCGTCGTTCCAAACCTGAATAACTTTATTTCTTCTGTAGAGTGAAAAAAGAGGGTATTTGAAGAATATTCTCTCAGGTCTTTTCCATTCGCTTCATAGTGACCATAGCTGTTAAGATCCATAAAACGGCAATAGAAGCACCATAAACAAAGTCAATATGAGTCAAACGCTATATTCCATAGCTGCATCCCAAATGACGCACTATACACTTTGCACTTATACACTATGCATGTACTTATGCACTATGCACTCAACAATGTAGTGTATGAATTATTTAAGGTGATTTTGTCATTCATAATCAGAGTCTGGTAGCCCCTCCCCCTCCACTACGTAATTAAATCTGTGACAGTTGAGTGCATGAAGTGTCCAACATTCCACACTTTTTTTTTTTTTTGATTATTTAAGTGCATCATCCGGATATTTAAAGTGCACTTTTTCTGTTTGGCATTTTCTGTGTGAACACACTACTCGCACTATATACTACAAAACGTCATAGAACAGTGCATAAATATGCGATTTGGGATGCACCACATGTCTTCTTAAGCCATACGATAGCGTTGTGTGAGAAACAGACTCATATTGAAGTTATTCACTGATAATCTAGCACTTCAGTGGGCTGTTAACCACTGTGACTAAATCATTGAGTCAGAAAGTTCAGTTAAATAAACAAATCATCTTTTTTTCAGCTAGTTCTTTTGAGCTATTCATTCATGGTTCATTCACAGACTCTGGTATGGTCAAAATTACATAGACTTGATATAATTATATAGACTTTTATGGGTTTTTTTTTTCTTTTAGGTCATTTTTAGAGCTCGTCACTATGAACTGTCTGCATATCTAAAATACCTGCGTAAAATGTTCGGTTCCACAAAAGAAAAGGAAGTAATAAATGAAAACATTTTCATTTTTGGGGTAAACTATTCCTTGAAATGAAAGGAAAGATAGAATATAATGTACAGGGTGAGTAGATGAAAAGAGGGAGTTGAAATAAGAGGAAGTGAGTGGTTGTGAAAGACAAGCTCTGTAGGATGGGGTGGGCTGAGGAAGTTGAAAATGACTAAACAAAAATGACAAGAAAAGAGAAGGAAAAAGTTAATGTCTGAAATGTTGCTGCATTATGTCCTCCTGTACCCAACTATTATGTGCATAATTTTCTGTAGTTTTTCCCAGAAAAAAAAAGGTTGACAGCAGCACCAGAGGAGAAACAGATGGGCAATAATCATTGCTGCTTGCGTTAGAGCTACTGTCGTACAATTCTTCCATCAGCATTTTTTGATATAATTATGATTTTCCACTGCAGTAGAGCATGGGAAGAGATCAGAAAAAAAGAAATGAGGGGAGGGTTTTTTTAATCATTTATCTGTAAAACTTTGCCTTGTTTGAAATAAGTTCATGTCATTAGTCAGAATTTTGTTCAGAATGAATGATTAACTTTGTAATCTACATTAAGCAACAACGATGGAAGGTGGAAGGAAAAATCTAATCAGATTTCATCATGACTGTAATAAATATATTTCTAAACTTGGGATGTGTTTTTAAACTATTTTCAAATCTATCATCATGTAATAAAAACATTGGCAATTAATTAATTAATCACATAATATTACTTTAATAATCATATTGAAATAATATATGAGTAAGATGGCTGTTATTCAATAGTCAGCACCGAATCTTTCAATATTTTTGAACAAATCTGCTGAATGATTGGGTTGATTGAATGTTTCAATGATTCACTCACCAAATCTGTTGAATGGATAATTCAAGCAAATACTCACTTGTCACTTTTCAGGTAGCGTCAAATGGAAAAAGTGCCTTCCTGTATTTTGCTCTGTTTTGCTACTCTCCCCTCAATGCTTGTAACATGGGCATTAGCAAGAAAGAAAAAATGCTTAGATCAAAGACGACCCTAAACAGGAAGCTGTTACCACCAGATATTCAGCAGATGTACTCGTGGGTAAACTGCTTCTTTATATAGAATGGCACTCTTTTTCCGGCTTACTGTTGTAGTTCTCACCATTATAAATGAACCCACTGTGATACACCCATATGCTGGTGCGGTTTCAGGGCCCTGGTCTCTCTGACGGAGAACATGATGCATGACTGTATCTGTATAAACTGCTGCTTTAGCTGCACGGTAAGTGGTGCCCAGAACTATAGAGAAAGGGAAAAAAAACATCTTCACTGAAGAAGATGACTTCAGCTCTGGACTGTTTTCCCAAAGGTGTCATTTCCACTAGCTGTACCAAATGAAACTCTAAAATAACGATTGTCTCCCATGTCTGACATTGTTTGCACGGCCCAGTTAGCGCCTGCTGGTGGATGTCATAACTGCACCATCTGGACCCAGAAAGCTTCTTTCTCCATTGATAGCCATTCAAGTAATAACTTTGTATTCTGATGAAATAATTGTTTTTGCAACTTATTTATTTTATTTTATTTTATTTTTGAGGACTCTTAAAGTCATGAAATGAAACTGCACACACTACATTTTTGACGCCTGCACTCCATCATGACTTCATATCGTATTCAAATAATATCAGATAATTTGGCCTTTTCATGACAAGTCAAGGATATTTCAGGTTTTAAAATGTCGCGTAATGTGACTCCTCAAAAACGTAACAATATTTGTGAAAAATTAACTTAAGTAAAAAATACTTAAATACTATTTTAAAATATTTGGATTATTTTGATTAATTGTTATTATTATTATTTATAATTATATTATCATAAATATATTATAATTTCTTGAAAATGACTTTTTTTTTTCAAATCCATGCGAAACCAAGATCTCTTAAGAACTTGGCACATGTGTTTTAAACTACAATTTACAAGCTCTTCAATCTTGTTTATTATTAATCTGTACTTCTGAATTGACAGGCATTAAATCCATGTCTGCTACAGACTGAATTTTTCATACCAATTTTTTAAAACTTGTATTCCATCTGTTGTTGCCCAGTGAAACCATTTGCAGCAATTTGGCATCTTGAATATAATCCAGGACAGGTTAAGAAACGATAAAGTCCCTGTCACTATGTGTGTGTGACCAGTATCTGAACCCAAGTCTCCTGACAGCCAGTGTTAATTAATTCATAATTCTTACAGTAATTGTCACCTGCTCTATTACTCTCAGTGTGAATGACTTGCTGCATCTCTTGCCGAGAAAAGCAACAACACAATTTAAAATACTCTATATATTAGGCTTAAGCTTCTTGACTTTGTTTTCCCAGGTTTTCACCACATACTCGAACGAGGACTACGACAGGCGTAATGATGAGGTTGACCCCATGGCGGCTTCGGCCGAGTATGAACTGGAGAAGAGGGTGGAGAGACTGGACCTTTTCCCCGTCGAGCTGGAGAAAGGTACTCGACCCACCGATGGAGTTTTCCTGTCTAAACCGTGTGTGTTTTAGAGCCTGTGTGGCATGTTGTCTTAAGGGTCCTTAACTTCCTGTTTCTAAACAAACTGTCTGAAGCAGCTTGTTTTGCTCTGTAAAGTAAGCAGCTTTTGCTGATTAGAAAATCGGAGGGGTCGGGCCCTCTCTCCTAAAGCAGTGTGGCGGTTACCATAGCTACCGTATGTGAAATATCACAGCGTAGACATAGAGGCGTTGTGTTCAGCTGTGTAGTTTTTATATTCCAGTGGTATTAAAGTTACAACCGCTCTGGGCTAAAAAGAAGTGATTAGGAATAATGTAATTTCAAGAGGATTATTTGGAATCAAATGTATTTATAATTGCTAAATAATTATAATCTTTAATCTGCTCAAATGATTTACAGTCACAGGATTAGTCACATACTAATTCCAGCTCATTATCCCAATATTTAGTTATTGCCGTCTAAAAGCCTTAAAGCTCTTTGAAGTGCACATTTACAATTAAGTGCATCATCCGGATATTTAAAGTGCACTTTTTCTGTTTGGCATTTTCTGTGTGAACACACTACTCGCACTATATACTACAAAACGTCATAGAACAGTGCATAAATATGCGATTTGGGATGCACCGCATGTCTTCTTAGTATTTAATAATATTTTGAATTAGCTTTTATTTTTATATTTTTGATTTTCATTTTAAATTTTAGTTTTAGTCATTTTATTATGTGCTTTTTTTTATTCTTGTTTAGTTTTTTTATATTTCCATATAGCTTTAATTTATTTGTATTTTAGTTTTAGCAATTGTAGTACTTTAGCTTAAACTTATTCAATTCAGTTAGTTGTCAAGGCAACATTTTTAAAGTTTTTCATCTAATATTTATATTTAATCTGTATTTTAATTGCCAAAAACCTTAAAAAAAATTTTTAGTGTTTTAATTGATAAAAACAACACTGATTTAAAGAATCATTGATTTGAATAACATAAGGGTCACTGAAAAATTCCCCTCTGCCGTAGCTCTGAAATCCTGCTTGTACTTCTGCTTGATGTTGTGTTCGTTTACGAGAAGTGTTAACTTAGTCATGTAAACTGTAACTCTGTGATTCCTTCCGGTCAGATAATGACGGATTGGGAATCAGCATCATCGGGATGGGTGCTGGCGCGGACATGGGCCTGGAAAAACTGGGAATCTTTGTCAAGACAGTGACAGAAGGAGGAGCCGCCCACCGAGATGGAAGGTCAGTAGGGATGGGCGATACCACTTACTTTGTTTTCGATACGATACCGATACTTTTAAAGGCCAGTATCGTCGATATCGACACCGATACGATACTTTTAAACTGAACTTTTAAATTATGAAATGTATTAAATTATTAAATTACAAAAGAGTAAAATGGGTAATGATACCCACTTAGCTTTATATTTGAAACGCATTTTAACATTCAATACACCTTAATTGCAACTTACTAGGTTATATTTTTGTTTACACGTGGTTAAAATATGTTTACTGTAGTGGTAACCATGGAACTACGGTCACTTTAGTAAAACCACCATGGTTCATTTTCATAGGGGACTGCCAGTGAAAGTCTGTTGCATGCATGAAATGCAACCTTTTTATTCTGACAGCTATGATTTATATTAACATTACAGAATAGAACATGATCAATATGAGCTTTTAACGTTCAATTTAAATAAATGTAATTGCACTATGTAGGCTACAGTTTCAATTTGTTTATTGTGAAATAACTCAAAACGTATATGTTTTTTCTGTCCTCTGATAAGAATTGTTCTGCCGTTCCCAAAAGCATCAATGATTTCTTATGATACTTTTGGGAAACGCAGCCCTGTTTGAATGCACTGTCAGAAGTGAGTGAACGCTCTCTGTGATTGATTGGTTCTGTCTTGCAACAGATGAGCAGGAAAATAGTTCTATCCAACACAATTATTCACTAACATGGGTTATTCATCCAATTCAATACATATTGTACGCATACATTTTTTTGTTAAATAAACAAAATCACTGGTAAAACAAACAAAAAAAAACACACACACCTTAGTATCGATATTTTTTATTTGAGTATCGATACTTTCAATACTCGCATCAGTATCGATGCGCCCATCCCTATAGGTCAGTTAGAGAATTACAGGATAGAGTGGGATTTATATGGATTTAAGTGCAAATGAGAGTGAAAAGAAACTGGGATTCCTTTACCTTCTGTCAGTCTGTACTACCAGGACATCTGCTTTCATCAGTCTGCAAAATGGATTAAATACCAAAGTCACAGAGGCATCACCAGACATGCAGTGGAAACTGTGAGGCTGATGCTTTTAGACTGATATGAGACAAAATGAAATAGTCAAAATGACTAGTGTCCATGGTTTTGTTATGTATAAAACAGACCGAGTATTTAATCAACACATATGTGTATGGATGGAGGTAGGGCTGGGCGATATAGCTAAAAAACTTATCAACGATATAATGTTTCATATCGTTCGGTATCGATAATTATTGACATTTTTTATAACCTTTTTTAAAACAAAAAGCAATAGAAATTTTTTTTTACATTTAACCACTGTATTTATAATTAACACAATTTATTGAGACAAACAACAAATAACAATCAAACACAATAAAAATTAAACAATCTAATTTCTAATGTTTTATATGCATATTAAATAGGTCTTTATTGTATAGGTCTAATTGTCTCCCGAGGCCACAGGAGGGCGCAATGAGCAAAATAATGCAGCGCATTTAAATTGTCAACGCAAGGAAGTAACTCTTTCAGCATGTGTTCGTGTTGGTGTGTGCTGTCTGCATCACTCATAGTGCCTATATCGTGCGCTATATCGAACAATTTTTCTATCGATATCGAAGAAGGTGTACCGTCGATAAATATCGATACCGTTTTATCGCCCAGGCCTAGATGGAGGGATGGTATTTATTGATCTATAATGAGTAGAATCTGACCTTGCAATGGCATCTGAGCTCTTCAGACCCCAGCTCTTTGAAAAATAACAGCAATTCAGCTTAGAGAAGCCCACTTTTGCTTATGACATTCCTTTAGAGCGCAGGAGAGTGTTAGGAATCTTAAAAACTCACAACGTTAGTTATTTCTCTCCGGTCTTGAGTCAGTAGGTTCATGCTGCATTGCAGTGGCTTCTTCCTCATTTTGGCATGACAGTTAGAAACAGTCGGCCTGGAAGCCACAGGAGACATAAAAATCTAATAAGCCAATGCTGAAATGAGCTGTCGCCACATGTGTGACAGAAGTGCTTAGATATTGAGTGGGACAGACACTTTAGCGCTCTGAAAGGACCTCACCTCCACTCTCTGGCACCTCATTGGTTCTCCTGCTGCCTATCAAACATACATCTGCCTTGGCAAACAGGCTACCGGGGACTGTTTTGGATGGGGCTGGATAGATTGACATGTTTTATGACTGAGAGGATCGATCGATCATTTTAACGGCTTGGAATACAAGAAGAGGTTTAGTTAGGCGAGGCACTGATTCACTGCTGCTGTTGGTCAGCTTTCAGACTGAATAAATGATTCCTTTGGCATTGTCAGTTCCTGTACACGTATAGTGATGAGATTGATCAGTATCTTGGCCCAAGATGTAGCAGCCATTTTACAGATGCACTTTTCCTCCCTGAGCTGTCCTGGTTATTTTTCCTTCCGGTAGGATCCAGGTGAATGATCTGATCGTGGAGGTGGATGGAACCAGTCTGGTGGGCGTGACCCAGAATTTTGCTGCATCGGTCCTTAGGAACACCAGCGGCACTGTCAAGTAAGAAAATTAAACAACTTTTTCATAGAGACTTCATGTGAAATCTCACAGGTCAAGGTTTGGCCAGGTCATATTTTATTTTATTTATTTATTTATTTATTTTTTATTAAAGATTGGGGTGTTTTTCAATATTTTTGAAGTCTATTTATTTATTAATTCAAAAATACAGTCATAACATGAATTTTGTGAATTAGTATTAAATTTAAAATAACCGTTTTATATTTGAATATATTTTTTTAATGTAATATTACCAGCCATTTCTCCAGTCTTCAGTGTCACATGATCCTTCAGAAGGATTCTTTTTATAATCATGCATTTATTTGAAATACATCTTTTTCTAAACAATTTCTAAAAACTGTCACTTTTGATCAGTTTATTGTGTCCTTGCTGAATAAAAGCATTAATTTCCTTTTAAAAAAGAAAAATCTTAGTGATCTGAAACGGTAATGTGTGTGTGTGAGAGTCACATATACAGTATATGACAAAAATAATATAAAATTCTAAAATATTCACTCAAAAAATATCTAGTCCAATGCCAAACTTCTTTATTTCTGTATCCAAACAATAAATTTTTTTTAAAAAGAATTAAAAAGCTATATGTCATTGGAGTATTATCAGACTTAGTGTGAATGTGTTCACAGAGATCCACTGCTTCATTCTGAACCTTTGTTGCACATGTTTTTGTACCAAAAATTCAGGTAGACCTCAGGCTTTAGTGTATTAGAATTTAATTTCCCTCTATTTAATCCAGCATTATCTTCAGTCATCTCATTTGGCATCAGATGCTCACTGATTCATTATCATCTCTAATATTGCCCTGACAATGCTGTGTATCGAATAGATTGCTGCTTTCTGTTACTTTGATTTAACAAAGATCTACTAGGCGTGGATGGTGCTTGATTGTAGTGCAGGGAAATGGAAAATGTGATTAATAGACGAGGCTCAAGTCCAGTGGGAGAGAAGATGTTTAATAATAACTTTTATTTGTGAGGAATACAATCAGTCACTTTTAAATAGGATGCAGTTGAAAGCATCCAGCAGGATGCTGATGAAGGTTTTGAGCCTTTTAGGCTTTATAATGCAGGTCTTTTCTTCCTGTAAATCATCACACCTGAAAACAGTACAGAACTCACTTGAGGAATGACAGCTAGTCCACTAGGTCTTATCTGATTGACTGGTGTGTTTGTGTGTTGCAGGTTTGTGATTGGCCGGGAGAAGCCGGGGGAACAGAGTGAGGTGGCCCAGCTGATCCAGCAGACACTGGAGCAGGAGAGATGGCAGAGAGAAATGATGGAGCAACGCTACAACCCCTACACGGAAGAGGACGAAGAGGTAAAGCTTCATCAGATACACGATGATTTAACTTTTTCAATTTGTGACTAATGCAGATTGAGTATAAGTAACATGGGATTTCATTAAATAAATATATGCACTGCGTGTTCCAGAGTGAAGCGCTGCATTGTGTTAATTTACATGTGGGCAGCTCATGATCTGCTGGTGTTTGCAGCGTCTCAGAGTGGTTTGGTTCGCAGTAAATGCTGCTCCACACAAACTCATCTCTGCATCTGCTCTGAGTCTGGGTTGCTGTAATTTGCATTCTGCATTTGGGAACGCAACACACGCCAACCTTCTTTCGTTCCCATTGTAATGAGAAGCAGTTGTCAACAAAAAAGAAGCTTTAAGGGTTTGCTGCAGTTTTACATTAAAATAAAAGTTTAAAATAAAGAAATTAAGACAGCCATAAATATTAGTATTGTAATTCTACTGCTGTAATTTAAAAATAAATACTCGTATACTCTAATTTTTTATTTTACAGTGGAATACTACCATATTAATTTTTCTTTTTTTTTTATGTAATTTGTGTATTTTTGTTTAGTAATTCTTTTTATTATTATACAGCCGTATTGATATAAAATTACAGAATTTTGGCCAAAATGTGTAGGACTACAAACAAGCAAAGCAAACCTGATTTTTTTTTTTTTATCGTATTCCAAATCGCAAAATTTTAATCAGAAAAATTGCAATTCAGTTTTTTTCACAAATCATGCCTTTTCAAATAAGTTTTTCCTCAAACACTCCACTATATAATTTTTTTAACCTATTAATTGCAAAGATTTCATTATATTATAGTAAATATTTTGCCAGTGACTGTGAAATAGACTTTTCTCTGTCTCCGTCTTGCGAATAACTGTGTTTAGCTTTGAGGCTTGGATATATTTGGGGCTTAAATATAAATAAAAATGATAAATTATAAAAAAAATAAAATAAAAATAAAAACTTGTTTTTGGTCTATATTGTTTTAAATCTATTTTTAGATGTTTGTCTTACATCTGTTACATCTAAAAAATCTATTATTTTGCCTCCAGTTGAGTGGCACTCTGTATTGCAAATGTCACATACTCCTTTTTTGCACCACTGACCTCAGATTTCATAAGTTAGACTGGAAACCTAGTCAGTCAGTGTGTCAAGCTTGATGCTTGACCTTGTTCTTGGCAATGCATCAAAACACCTGAGGTATTCACTGTTTTTATGACATTTTTAAAATGCTCACAGCTCATAAATCAAGTTAAATGAAAGGAAATGTGGGGTTTTAAACAATTTAATTGCATTAATATAGCTGTACCCCTTAATGATGGGTTATTAAAGTGATTTTGGTTGCATGTAGTGGAAGACAGTATGTCACCATTTCTTCACCGAGACACTCTTTCAGGAATCATGAAATCACAGAATTTAGCTCCGTTTTAAAGCACTGCATTGCTTTAACAGGTTCATGCTGTACATGTCTCATAATTGTCCTCCACACCTGCCCACATTGGCATGAGGGGAATTGATTAATAATTCAGATGTTGAAGATTCACAGTTCTCGCAGTCGGTATTCTTGGAGATCTTGGGTGTGAAAGTAAGGGCAGAATGCCATGGCAGTGTGTCTCAAAACATGTATGTAAGAAATGTTTCTTTTAATAAAATCAACATGATTTCTGAAGAATCATGTGACTGAAGAAAGGAGTAATGACTGCTACACAGGATCACAGGAAGAAATTATATTTTGAAATATAATAAAATGAAAAACTGTTATTTTAAAATTTAATATTATTTCAAAATCTTACTGTTTTGATTACATTATTATTATTTTTTTCATTACATAAATGCAGCTTTGGTGAGTGTAAGACAATTCTTTTAAAAAAACGTACTGACCTCAAACTTGATATAAAATAATTATAATAAATGGTCATATATAATTTAAGTAAATACTGATGTTTATATATTTTTATTTTATATTATACATTTATAATTATTTAATCATATATAATAGTTTATTAATAATGCAGTATTTAAATTAATATTTTATAATTGTTTTCATTCATTTCTTTAACTGTATAAAATAAAGTACAGAATAATATATATTTTAAAAAAACTCAATCTGAAAGACCAAGATTCTATAACCAAAATATGTTGTACCTCAGTTTGCTGAGAAAATTTTGATTTTTTTGTATTTTTTAATTTTGTATTTTTACAATTTACAAGGAATTTTTTGCTAAGAATTTTCTATTCTATTTGTGTCATTAGTGACAAGTGATAAGTAAATTTTATAGAGCATATATGTTAACTCAACTGTATATAGCATGAATATAAAACCGTATATATATATATATATATATATATACACACTCAACTGTATATACTGTAGTAATTTGATTTTCACTCTTTTCTTGCAAATAATAGTCATTGTATCACTCAAGGCTGAACTGATACTAGCATACAAAACTGACCAATTGCAAAAGTCATTATTAACAAGAAAACGTTTCTTCAGAGGAATCGAGATGTTCACCAAGTGATTCTGTCATATGTGTCATTAACTGTGGCTGTTTGCCTGATGAGAGTTTGCACTGCGTTCACTCATCCAGACAGGCAGTCATTGTGCGGGAGTTTGCTTGCTCATGTCCCAACTTGCAGGGGAAGTCCTTTGTTAAAAGGATGTTTGTGATAGTGGTGTATTTGCAGCGGCTCTTAGGGAGTGTTGGGTGTACGACGGCCTTTTGAGGTCAGGGTAATTGCAGTTTTAGGATGTGGAGAACATGTTGGATGCTTTATTTCAGATGTGTTGGGACATGCTTTCATAGGGGTGATCCTCAGAAATTCTCAAGAGACTTTGTATGTTTGTTTATGGTCCAAGATTTTCTCAACAGCTCCCAAATCATTTCAAATGTGGCACATCAATGTATCGCGTGGTTGCAATTCTGTCAGTTTGCTTCTACTTGCCTTTACTTCATCTTCCTGCAGCTGCACAGTCAATTCAAAATGGTGGTTGGCCAGTCACAGTGGGTTTTTTTTTTTTTTACAATGTCCTGCCATGTGTTTTCCCCTTGATCCAGTTGGTTTCTGCCTAGCTAAACTCTGACATCTAGTGGTTAATGTTACCAACACACTGATCAGAAACCAACACATGTCCGAGTCAAGAATCCTTATCAAATGTCTGATACAGAAACTTCTTTAGCTTCAAAATCCAAAGTTTAAGGTCAGATATACAAATCTCAGCTGCACTGAAAAGCAGCATGTGTCTCAATATCCATCTCTCTTTTTTTCTCAATTTCTTGTTCATGTTCAGACGGGTGAATATGCCACCGATGAAGAAGGAGAGATGAGCCCCATGTTTCCTAATGCCATCGAGGTGTTTGACCTGGCAGAGAATGAAGACATGCTCTCTCCTGTGGAGATGGACCCAGAGAAACTTGCACACAAGTTTAAGGAGGTCAGTGGGACACACAAGAAAACTTCTAAAGCTGACCACTCATAAACGCATGACCAGAAAAAAAATGTGCAAACCTATCCACGCTGCCATTTTTTACTTTGATTTGCCTTTTGAAATTAACTGGGAATTGACTTAATATTAAACAGATGCAGCTGATTTTTATTTTATTTTAATTCTAATTTTATTTATATTATGATCAATAGCTAACAATATGAATCTAGAGTTTGTATTTATTTGTTTACTTAATTACTTACTTATTTCGCACTGAAGCTCCAATATGGAAATGTTGGTCTATATCAGCAATTTTATTTTATTTTTTTACAATCAATAAGCAATGTACACACTGTAAAAAAAAAATAATAATAAAAATGTAGTTGTAAATAATAAAAAGATTATTGGAGTACATTTCACAAGAAAATACTATTTAAATTTTTCTTAAAAATTTCATGATTAATTAAATGTTACTTGCTGTTTATTTCTAATTGTTTGTGAAACTTACTAGCAATTTCTGAGTGAAAATTGTTTCTACACCATTTTTTTTTCCAGCGCAATAAATCTGCTGTTTTTTTGTTTGTTTGCTTGTTTTAATAAAAAATATCATTCACCCTGTGTCTCAAATCTAGAATTATATGCTACACTGTTCTACAATTTTATATATATATATATATATATATATATATGTGTGTGTGTGTGTGTGTGTATGTAGAAACATCTTGCTTGCACTTTTGTGACATCGGAATGAACATCAACATTGTTATTTCTAAATACCACAAGAAAGGGATGCTATTACTTGTAAATTATCTTCAGTAATAGTAATGTTAGAAAAGAAAGAA